ATGAGTGCAAACATCCATCTATTTTATAACGAGACAGTTACATAGATGCTGGAACACGTGCAGGAAACATTTCATGCCACATTGGAAGGTGCCTTTTATACTGAAACTCCTATTATTATTATCATCACAGATAGAAATGTTATCTTCTCCGGACACACTCTGCGCATATATAACGGTGGATATCCACTTGTAGTACAGGAAGGCCCTCAAAACAAGTTTACCCAGCTTCCTTTTCTGTTTTATTCTGAAATCACTTTCATGCTCTTTCATGACATTTGATTAACATATATTTCTGAAAAATAATTCAGTTTTATTGCAGAATGTGTTACTACCACGGCGGCCCGACAATCATAATTCAACTAGATGTACAGCTGAGAATGATAGAGGAATTGTTAGCGAGGGCTTGACTGTTAAGATGATCTAGCTAGCAAACAATAAATGTAACAGCATGGTTTGAAAATATGGAAGGAGCGAGAGACATGGAGGAAAAGGATATATACATAAACTAAAGGTGGCCATACACTTTACAACCATCGCAAGGCCCGTGCGGCATTGATCTTACGATCGTGCTAAAAACCAGCCGAAAATCGTACGATTCTCGGCTGGTTTTCTAGCATGCTCCTTAGACAAAAGACGTGCGACCGTACAGTAAAAACGGTTGCAAGTCTTCCAAACACTTTGTGATTATCATACGATCGCGGGATTTCCCGCGATTATCGTGCGATAATCGCACAGTGTATGGGCACCTTAAGACCCAGAGACATGAAAGACAAGACCACTGCTATAATATACATGACAAGTACTTTTGAGACACAGATTGGCTTGTTTGTGATCGCGTGATTAATTTAAAGGGTTGTAATTGGTGTGCATTCAATCCAGATTTACATATAATGTGAGAAAACTATGGTCGGAAAATGGAGGATTTCTGGCAGTGTTTATATGTGGAAATGGTGCTGGACAGAGAGGACAGCTGGTTCACAAAAGGCATGAAACATCACACTGAAAAAAAAACAACCCTTAACAGGGGTGGGGGCTTCAATACTCATGTCTTCCACATAAAACAATTCACACTTTCAGCCATGTAAATCAAGGAACTTTTGAGATGTATAAATCAAGAAATTTAAACCCATGCAGACTTCCTGACACCAAGAATGGGATTTTGTAACTGGAACATGGTGGTTCCCCAACTTGCAGAGCTATGACCAAAATGAAAGCATGAAAGCGGCCATCTACGTCATACTGTAACAACCATTCCTGACCAGGATTGGGGGCTTCAATACTCATGTCTTCCACATACAGTATAACAATTCACACTTTTAGACATGTAAACTGAGGCATTAACGCCAATGCAGACCTCCTGACACCCAGGATGGGATTTGTACCAGGAACAGGGTGGTTCCCCAACTTTCACATCTCCCATCCTGTTTTTGGGGAGAAGAAGATAAGTCACCAGCATTTGGTTGTTCATAAAGCAAACATTTTCTTGTTTATTGTGAACAAATCGCATAGTTCATAATGTCAACGTTTTCGGGGGTTGCACAGGGTCCCTTCCTTAAGGCGATTCATTGACAGTTTCTGGCAATGTTTTTATTTGTAAATGGTGCTGGTCAGAGTGGACAGCTGGTTCACAAGAGGCATGATGCGTTTTGTGAACGCATCACGTAGCTCATAATGTCAGCATTTCGGGGCTGCGCAGGGTCCCTTCCTCAAGGTGATAAAGTGATGACAATGTGTTCCATTGAGGAAGGTTTCCTGTGCGGCCCTAAAACATTGGCATTATGACCTATGGTATGTATTCACAATAAATAAGATGTTTGCATCTTGAACAACGGAGTGCTGGGGATTTGTCTTCTTTTACCTTGGAATACAACGCGGCACCATGCGTTGTTGTCACAGTCACTACGAGCACTACCCTATTTTGGTCATAGCTCTGTATGGTGTACAGCCGGTATCAACATCCATCCTGTTCTTAGACAATCAACATCTACACATTCCATGGTGACTAAGCTGTCTGTCATACCTGTGTGGATATAGAGTAGAAGCTGGGGTATGTTCCTGATACTAATTAGAATGGAAGAAGTGGCTTAGAGAAGTTATGAAACCTCTTCAACCGTACAGAACAAGTCCAATTGAATCTAACTAACTACTGCTAGCTATACCATGACTTTGATAAATGAGAACCTTCACAGATGTGCTGTGCAACTATTGTAAATGTATGGAGTGAGGACATATAAATATTTTTAGGGGAATTCACAAAGACGGGAGCTACGTTTTAACAAGAACTGTTTGTTCTATCTATGACAAGTGGAGTAAATAGCCCCAGATTCACATTCATGGGACAGACACGTCTGAAACTGACAGAACTGTTGCAAAATAACATAAAAAATCTACTGGAAAAATATTCCTTTTACATAATTGGTTTATATTGTTTACTGTCAGGCTAAATTTAATTAATTCCAATAATAAATATTATTTGATAATGTGTAGAATATCCATAAATGTGTTTTCATAATATGTGTTAGAAACAAATTAATATTAGAAAAATATGAAGTGAAATGAACCATTAGTAAAACCCAACTGAAGACAGGGAACATCTTGTGAACTAATGTAACAATTGATTTAATTTATATATCTGAAATATGCAATGAGTCTTATAAATTAATGGTCAATGGAGGTACCCATAGTAAATAAGAGGGGTGATGGCTACTGCAGATTTTAATATCGTTTGTTATTTATGTTGTGAAAAAATAAATGAATTGTTTTTATACAAAAAGAACATTTTTATGAGTTACGGCCTAAAAAAAAAAGCTCCCAGTGTTTTCAGACAATATCTATTTTTCCAATGTTTAATATTTACTTTGTTATTAATTACTGTATATTAGGTTGGTATGTGTGGCTGTGGATTAACACCAGCTTAGTGTTGGTCTTTTCAGACTCCAATTTCTTAAAGGATATCTATGATCAAAAACTAAAAATAAATTTGTATTTCTTTATTGAAGATGCCCATAGGATGGACTTCTATAATGCACTGACACCATTTCACCCTGTTCCCTACTGCTGTCCAAACTACAACTCAATGTCTGAACAATGTAACATCATCATTGCTGGCTGGAAGCAATGCATGATGGGATATGCAGTCTTAAGAAATAGAGATTGCATCACATCAACCAGCAGAGAAAGAGACATAACGCACACTGCGAATCCAGGAAGTTGTTGGAAGTGACGGGCAGACGGAAGGCAGCACTCATTAAATAAAAGGGATTTTTCCAAGTAAGCTTTGATTGTATTATCAGAGACAACTCTACTATGTATTCCTATGACAATGCTGATGTTATAACAGGAGAGGATATGCTGGGACTTTACTCCTAACTCCTTTAATAAGAAATGTGTCTAAACAACAATGTCAATCTGACTGACAGTTATAGCAATAAGAATTATTTGAATTTTTTTTCTTTTGTGGTGCAAGTCTTACGTTATAGTGAATTAGGTGCACAGGTAACACATAACTGAGTAAGTTTAGATTTTGTAGAGCAAATGCGATTGTGAATTTCCCTGTTTATGTTTTAAGAAGTGTGACAAATGGCCCTAGGGCAGTGGTAGGCAAACTCTCATACATCTGCCTCTGGTAGTCATGCCTGTTGTCAGAGTCTTGCAATGCCTAATGGGATTTGTACCTGCACCACAACTGGATTTCCGGACTTTGCCCACCCCTCCCTTAAGCTGGCCATACACCTGTCAATTTCTTTCACTCAACCCGCGGGCTGAACGGAAGAAATTGACGCGATTCCTCCATCAACACAAACAGCGTGCCGATCGAGGAATCGCCGCTGTTTCATTGTATTCTGACAGGTGCTGTTGTCACCTGTTAGAATACCCAATCAGAGCAGACAGCTCATTTGCTGCTGGCTCCGATCGTACGAAGATTTCTCAGCCGGCTCCTTCGACCAGCTGATTGAAGAATGCTGGCTGAAAGGGAGCCGACTGCCTCATACACTGGCCAAATTTCGGCCAGTACATTAAAAAGTATGGGCACCTTTAGAGTATAATCCTGCATTTGATTTATATTACACCCAAGCAATGACCCTACTGGACTTGTGGAATCCACCATGGGGTTTGGCACCTGACTGAGAGTCCAGAGGTGCTCCATTGGAAGTAAGGGTCTTGCAGCATTTAGGAGAGGTGGGCCAGACGGGATACCTTTGAAACACTTGTACGCTGGAACTTATGTTCACCTTTTTCGATGTACTCTATTATAAGGAATATAAGTAAGAAACCTTTAAATTTCCTGTGGACCTACCTGTCTTTTCTTGGTGCTTGGACTGTTAGGCTATGGTCCCTGCCATTAGATGCTCATGTCACAGAAGGCATTCCTATACCACGCACCAATTTAAAGGATGACCATTGAATCTCCTCATCATAATGTTAATCATTGTGCTATGCCTTTACTCCTCAAGCTCTTTGCAGTGTCATAATTCCCAACTAGTGCCCTGATGAGTGATAACAATCCTGAAACAGTTATATGCAAGTGGAACAACTGGTTCTACATTTAAAGCGAAGCTACGCACAACATTTCTTTGGAGAGAGTTGAGAATGACTAGATACATTTTTTTTTATTGCTGCTTGTATACCCACCGGGTAGGCTTTCCCTCAGTTCCTGCTCAAGTGACAGTGGTCCATATCCATACAGCTCCAAAACCTCTAAGTGACAACAAGCTCCCCATGTGAGCCATGGATATAGCTACTACTGCAATTTTTTATTTTTAGAAGAAGGCAGTTTCCTGTTGCATATTGGGAACAAAATCACTTGTCTAATTACTAATACATTTTACAGAGCTTGTCTTCTAGTACCAAGGACAGCGCATGTTTTCCAGGTCTCTTCACAGCACAGTACAACATAACTGATGAATGAAATCGTCAATGAAATCCATTTTGATCCAGTTCTCTCTATTGCTTTTTCTCTGTAGATCCAGTAGACTGAATGCCGGGAGGTAAAGACGCACATTGATCTTTTGCCTCACGAATCACAATTTCTTGATTGGGTCTGAACATTACTGGGGCAAAGCCATCTCCATCTTCTGTGAGGACCACCCACTTTGTGTCTAGAGAAATAACACATTATGCAACATATAGGAGGGATACTAGAACAAATATCATAGCCATCTAGATTTTGGTGCCTTAACCCTTTCGCTGCCATGGACCTAAGTACTGCATCTATGCTATAGCAGCCAAGAGAGTATTTACACTCCCTCAGACGACTGTTGACTTACATGTAGTAGCGATTCAAGTGTCTGTAAAGCCTCCTGATTACTTTTACTTTTTTCGCTTGTGCGGGGCCATGCTTCCTGGGCTCCAGTGCCCATCCTGTGGACTCAGGATAGCCATGGAGGGTGTCAGCAGAGAGAGGGGAGGGAGACCAGCAAAGATCAATTTGCTGATATCTTTTATGCTGAATAAACATGGAAGTGACAAAGATTTCATCACTTCCGATTTCTCAGCTGTCATTTCCCGACCTGTGCTTGATTAGCTTTAATGGCCTGCAAAGGTGACATTAGGGGTCCAACAGGCCACTAAAGTCTTCTTAAAGAGGACCTGTCACCAGTAACATAGGGGGCTATCAGCAGAATATCTCCTCTAAGCCAAACCCAAAGCCTCCCCACTTAGCTGTGCAAATAGCTGCTTTCTCAAAATCACTTTAAGCAGGGCCAGATTTCCCACAAGGCTACTGAGGCCCGACCTCGGGGTGGCAGGAAGTAGAGGGGCAACAGGGGTGTGGAAATTCTATCGCCCGACGCCCGAGACATGCAGTTCCAGATGCCGAGCGGGTAGTTTTTTTCTACATTTTGCCCTGCTTTGTATGTAGAGCCTCTACTTCTGTCCCCGCTGGCCGCCTCCCTCCCCGCTGTGGTTTTCGGGGTCCCCCTCTTCTGGGGGACCTGGGACCACAGTAAGGTAAGTCAGGTTGGAGAGCGGGGAGGAGAGTGAAGAACGTCCATTCTCCGCTCTGCTCCGTGTGAACACGGAGACAGGAGAGCTGCACTCGCAGCCTTCCCCTCTCAGATGTCACAAGAGATCTAGCACAGTACTGTGCTCAAACTCCTGTATTAGAGGTGACAAGTTCAATTAAAAGAATTGCGCATTGAGGAACCTGGCCTCGGGGCAGCAGAGAGAGTAAATCCGGCATAGTCTAAAAGAATATAAGAATTAATGCGCACAGAAACCCCAATATTATGATTTCCAAGCCCACTTAGAGGAAGCTCAGGCACTGGCATGACCAGATTTACCATTAGGCACTGTCATCCAAGTGAGCCTATTGATGAAATGTTACAAAATTATAAGCCAGTAAAACAAGAAAATGTTCTGTGTAAAAAGAGATGGTTTTAGCAGAAAGTGACATTTTGGTTTGCCAAAATCTGTGTGCCTACAAGTGATGGAAATTTGACCCAAGGCTCTGGGATGAACCATGCCGACTTCCACTACAAGAAAGTGTTGAAACTGCTGGAGGTACCCGGCCGCGTTGAGCAGAGGCTTTTTGTGGGATCTCTGTGAGGGCAGCTTAAGCTTCCACCTATCTCCTGCTGCTGTTCACAATTTGTTTTAACCACAGATCTTCTCTAAAATGATCTCTAACTGAATTTTTAAAAATAATTGTCACATGGGTCACTAGGGTGGACCTGTGTGGCAGCTAGTTGAGCATCACTGCATTAGCCAGAGCTCAATTTCCTCCTCTCCAATACCGCTAAACCCTCATATTGACATTCTGAAATATCTGCCATGAAGACAAATACTTTTGCTAATGTGATTTCTTTAATAGTCAATACAGCACACCATCCTTAATCCCTTCTATTTACTTTTTATTCAATATTTGTTTGATTTTCATTGTCTATGGAATTCATGAACTTACTATATACATAGTTAAAAGAAGTAATTGAAGAACATGTGCTGCACCCTATCATGATAATATAATATGGTAGAAAGGTATATGCCAAAATAAAATTTTTACCAAACATCATTTCAATGGTCTGGACATGAAAGATCTCTCGCACAGTCCTTAGGTGAAGCTTTCCATGACACAGAAGAACAAGTCTGGAGTCACTTCCTCCTTCATCTGATGACTTCTTAGAAAAAATAAAGAGAAACATTAAAATGAATAAATTAAGCTCCAGATCAAGAGCTCGGCACTCATCACTGACAGACGCTGGCAACTCGGCAGATAATTGCAAGGCAGCAGCATGCTGTGGCCTGAAACAGGAAGTGCTGTTACTGGCAGGATCTCCAGGTCAGACTACAATCTCATGTTTAGTTTACTAATGTGTATGGAGATTGTAGTCCATCACGGGAGCGAGCTTGGGGCGGTGACTACTTTACAACACACACAGGGACCATGGGGAAAAAAAATAGTCACCCTCCAGAAGGAAGGACAGTGTCAGCACCAATTCAGAGATGATTTGAGGATCCACAGCTGAGTGATACACAAATATGATACATTTCTGTTAATAGCTGAGGTACTTGAATGTATTTTTAGATTTAACTCCTGAGTTTAGTGTCACTTTAGGTTGAAGGAAACACCATAAAAGTCAGAAAGTATTATTTCATAGATTAGAGAGCACAAGCATGGGACTTCAATCATGTAAAGGCAAAGATCTACATTTTAGTTTTAGATACAGAAGGGAAGGTTAGAAGTCCCGTCCGGTATTCATCGCTGCCTGCGTCTGTAAGGTTTATCCCTCTATTAACCCCTTTGACCGTTGTCTCCAGGATAGAAAGTGAGGGGGAATCCCTAATTTTAGAGTTGAACAGATAAAAAGATAAGGGTAAATCTTCCAATGGACACACCTGTTCTGGTGATGATTTTCTAAAGGGGAAATTCCCCTAGCTTTGCAGAGTTTTCCTGTTGTATCTCTGGGTCTTTTTCAATCTCGGTAATGGGACTGTAACCCTGAATTTAAAAAAAAGGACAGGGGCCCTACTTTAATCCAAAACAAGGAAAATGACTGTACATAGACTTGGGATCTATTTATAACCAATTCTTAGAGCCATCTGCCCTACAAATCTTTTTGAACGTTTATTCTGTGCAAACAGACGCAAAGATGAACAATATATTTTAATTTCAGGTTAAATGTATGTAATGTAATAGTGCATTTCAGCCACTAGATGGAGCTGAGGCACATAGAAACAAAAGTATTTATTTCCTATGCTTTTCAGCTCCATCTAATATCCCTCCATATAATGCAGGATTACAACACAATACACTTGACCTGAAAAGAAAATGTATTAACACGTTTGTTTTTGCCATTATTAGCACAAATTAATGTTTACAGATATTCCAGGGCAAATAGCCCTGAAAATCGTTTATAAATTCAGTCAATATAAAGTTATTTTGAAAGCAAAATGCATAACAGTGGTGGAGCGCCAGAGCCAGGTCCCAGCTGCAACCCTGGTAGTTCTCGTGAAAATGCCAAGTATCGGCACTGGTATATGAAAAGTATCGGTGCTTTCCTAATTGGTTATATTGTTCTTTGTTAGCTCTAAGGACTACAAAATCATGCCCCTATACTCCTTCTGTTATCCTAATACAGAAAGGTCGTGAGCAGCATTATCCTAGGACTGGAAGTGTGTTACTGGTAGAATCATCAAGTAAAAATAAAGGAAAAAAAAGAAAACTAATGCAACTGCCAAATGTAAGTACTGATAGGCTGCAATTTATTAAAACATTTTGCTGGGTTTTGGTATGCTTTAAATATAATTTACTTCCTTTTTATGTGTTGCCCCACTGGATATAATTTATAGAATATATTCAAACAAAGGATCTATTCACTATGCACGCATGCAATGTACAGAGACCCAAAGACAGATGTTAGAAGACAAGTGTAATGATCACATTCAGAAATCTGTCTGAATAACTATCGATAGTTAAAAGATTACTACAAGTTAATGTACTTGGTATATTAGATTCAGATTTCATGGCTTAGTATGGTGATTGGTATAATGTAAAAATAAAACAATGCATACCTGAAGAGTAACCGATACATAGGGAGGATCTTCTGATGATGGGTACGGCAACATTTTGTAGCTTTTTGAAACATCCGACTCTACCTCTTGAGCCTCAAGTCCAGGGATCATAGTTCTCTCAGCACTAGATGTCGGAATACTGTCCTCCTGTGTTTGTTCTGAGTCATTCTTATAAGGCTTCTGAGACACAGATCTGCAGAAAGTCTTATTCATGGTCCCAGTATTGACCTTCAGTGCTCTTGGGGATGTTGGCTTGGTTTGAAAATTCTCAAGAGTTACTGGACTATAAGATTCCACCGATGATTTATTTTCATCATAGTCATCTAGACTAGATGTTGGGCTTGGATCACAGCTGGTCCCCCGTGCAATTTCTCTCAGTTTCCGTTTGATGCGTAAAGATTTACTTCCAATATGATTGGGCATCCAGAACTCTTTGCTCACGCTTTGGTCACAACCAAGTTTATTGCCGGCTGTGGTATTGCAATGGTCGCTTATGATATTTTGATCACAATTTAACCTCGACGGCATATATTCTATGGGCATTATTGTTCTTGTCAGTAATTGGACTGTGTATTTTTCAGAAATAGAGATCGGCAGAAACACCATATCACCAGATCTTTGCCTTCCAGTCATAATAAGTAACAGGGTATCGGTAAGAAAAGATACACCTTTGGCTCTCTCAGTTTCTTCAAGCTTGATTTGTTGGATGTTGGGCATGCATGATGGAGCTATGGGATAAATCAACACTAGATTTGAGGTGTTGGATGCTACTGCAGCTCTCTCACAATGGGAGTCTAGGACTAGTATATCCGGGGTGGAGATCCCCGGTAGAGATACTTTCCTTGTGGTGGTGGCATTCTTCTCGAAGGTGACAATTACAAGGTTAGACAATTCTGGCTTACTTTCCACTGAGATGCTCTTTTGTTTCATGTAAAGTAGTGGGCTGGGATCAGACTTCCGATGCCTGGCAAGGATCTGGGAAATATCTGATGGAACTAATGAAGAGACCTTCAAAAAGTCTGCCGGCTCTGATTTCCCTGAATCAACAGACAACCTTCTATTTTTTCTTGACAATTCCTCATCTAGTTTCAAGAGGGACATTTGCACCTTTGATTCATCCAGCTCCTTATGGATGTTGGCAGAACTTTTTGTTGCAATTTCTGCAGTCACCACAACTTGGTAGTCCACAGTAGGTTGAATAGCAACAATAGTAGAGTCAATGTTAAACACGGGACAAAAAGAGCAAGGACTTAATGTTTTGTTGTCATCATTCCATAGGTAAGAATAAAGAGAGTCATCCATGGCTGCCACAACCCGACTGCCGTCTTTCGTCCAGCAGGCGCACCTAATCATGCTACATCCTGTAATGTCTGCCTTAGCATTATTATTGCTATGGCATGCAGAGTACAGAACCGCAATGTCCCGTTTGGTTAAAACAATTAATATATCCTTGTTTGGGTGCCAAATACAGCCTTGTGGAAGAATGGGTAGAGGTTCACCATAAGCACAGGTCTGAGAAACAACCAGCTTGTTTTTTTCCAAGGGATTGTAATACAACTGCCAAACAGTGACATGCTTTTTGTGTTGAATAGCCAGAAGAGCTGGGATGTCCGTCACTGGACCCCAGTACAGGCCATGAACATGTTCAAACTGGCCAATCACAACAGAGCTGCCAAGTTCCGGTTCTTCATTTTGCAAGTGTAAAGAGCTCAGGATGACTTGCTTGCCGTCTGTCCAGGCTAAACCATGCAATGGATGGATGGCTTGATGAAGCGCATTTACCCCGTTCCTCAAGAGCTTTGCTTTTACTAGATCCATTGGTGGTATTTGTATCACAACAAAAGGGTCCAATGTTCTAGTTCAACATCCGTTCCACAAAAATGAAACATGTCAGGGTCAACTTTGCAACTGCTTTCCATTCACAATACATTTACAAGGTACCTTGGGAGTGAGCGGCTGCCGTTCTAGCCAAGTAAATCTGTTTGGAGCGTACTTTTGCTGTGTTTACTTTTATCCTGGGAGGAGTTAGCACCCACCCCACCATCTACAAGGAAGGTTTAACTAATTACATTGCATTAACTTTAGGTCAGAAATCTTTCTAGGAGGTTAAGCGCTCTCATTCTCTCTTTCTAAATATAACTTTTTTAATACATTGACCCCTTGTTGACTGAGGCTTTCCTATGGACAGGATTATGTCATAGAATCAGCCTTCTCTTCTGCAGGCTGAGCTGGGAAGGTAAAGTGAAGTTATCCGTAATTCCACAAGATGACAATGATTAATCCAAGCCTTCCAAATAAAGATTTAATAACATTAGTTAGTGAACAGGATTCAACCACAAAAAAAGATATATAAAAACAATATATATATATGTATATATATATATATATATATGCATACTGTATATATATATCGAGACTAAATAACTAAATAACTAAAAAAAGAAATTTGAAGTGAGGAGAGGAAGTCACAATTACAAACACATCCGCAAAGGTGGCTCCTATTAGGTTCATTGCCAATTAGCAATATGTATCAGCAATCGAAAAGCAGTGTCACTGAACATTATTTTTTTTTAACATGAGATCTAAAAAGTAATAGGAGGTAAACAAAATCCCAGGGAGGCCAGATAGTTCCTAAATTGCAGGTTCTTTAATCAAAGTGGCAGAATGTGTTTGTACAGAAGCTTCTGTTAACTTGTTTATAATGTACAGCTAGCGCTGCCAAACTGGTGCTGGTGAGTCACTGACATGGAATAAGCATGTAGTATGGGAGCTGACCTCTGTAGCTGCAGACACTGTGGAGTAATTTGCCCTCAAAGTTTGCAGCTGAAGCTTCTCAGATTTACTTTTACTTTCTTTCAGTGGCTTAGCTCTCCCCTGCCAGTTGTCACATAAAAATATCATATATTAAACATGGTCAAACTGCATTGGCACAGTGATTGCAAACTGAAGATCACTGATAGAGATACATAGAATTTGTGGGATGGTTGTTACAGAGGAACTGACCTCTGTGCCCAAAAAAGGCAGGCAGAGGGCAAATGGCTACTCATCAACATAGGTGTATCTACTACAAATTGTGCCCCTTGCGTCGCGGCCACCTCCTGGCAACCAGTGACATCACTGGTTGCCTGGAGCTGGGCAGGACACCGGCCAGAGCAACCCAGGTTGCTAAGTGCTGCACAGAGGCCTGTGTATGGGCCATGCACATCTTTCGCATGGGTCTTAGCAAACTGGGATGCTCTTGCCAGCGCCCTGCCTGCTTTTTTACTAAGATGTGTGTGGCCCTTACACATCACCAGGTAGTGCATTACTATTTTTCAGCAGCAAAAAATGGTAGATTTTTCAGGGTTCTGCTTAGACACAATTGTCTATAACAGTGGCAGCCACATCGGCCTTCAGCAGTTGTGGAGCTACAATTTTTGACTCTGACAGCCACAGGCATGACTTCCAGAGGCAGAAGAATGGCTCCCCCTGCTCTATAACATAGCAAATCTTCACTTTTTGAGATCAGTTCCACTTTAAATGCCACAAAAAGCCCTGGGTCCAAAAATGCCATAATACTGAACCATCACCATGTTTTTTGTGCAATCTGTTTCTCTACAAATTCATTACTTAAATTTCAGGGTGAGATGTCTGTTTTCCAGCAGAATATGGTCTCCGGTAAAACAGAAGGTAACCTTTAAATGATCTTATGAAAAAATCTATTTGTTTGTATTTGAGGCTCCACAAAGGCTGTCTCTTCTGGATGTACCATGAAGATAATCTAATGGGCATAAACTGATGATGGGGAAAAAAAAAGTATTTATATATGTACTCATCTGTATTAGATACCGAGTTGTTTGGGAAAAATATGTGTATATAACAGGGGTAGGCAAACACGGCCCTCCAGCTTTGGCAAAACTACAAATCCAATCATACTTTTGGCTGTCAGAGTCTTGCAATGCCTGGTGGCGTTTGTAGTTGCACCACAGCTGGAGGGCCGGAGTTTGCCCACCCCTGGTTTATACCAAATCTCCACCCAATGGAAGATGGAGCCTATATTGGGCTGAATGAGTGACCCAGCAGTTTTTTCATAAGGAGAGAAATAGGCAAATGCAAAGTCACAGGACAGAGTTGTGTGAAACCCACAGTTTTGCTTAGGACAGGTAGACCTTGTTGGAAATTTTTGACAGACTACAAGAAATATATATATTAATATAGTGATTGCACTGATTGTAAAAATGTCCCTGGATATTCTAGGTTTAAAGCCTATACATACATATATATATATATA